TAAGTGTGTGTATACTTATCATCCCTTTGCTCTAAGAACAGTTACGTTAAACTTCATAACCAGGAATTATTTAGATTTAATACATTTTTTACTGTTTTCTTTGCTTATCACTAATTCCTGTGATAAATAGTATGTAAGTATACATCTTACATACTATGTCCTTCCCTTCTTGGGTTCTCTATTCTGACAAATGTTTATTTGTTTGGAGAATTTTCTTAGGTTTTACGCAGGAAAAGGTACATGAGTGGTATATTTTCTGAGTCATTGACTTCTGAAAGTGCCTTTTTGTCCTCTTGTAACCGTGTGGCTGGCTGTGGAATTCTAGGGCTACCATCTCCTTTTCTTAGGTCAGGTGGGATCTCAAGGGTGTCTGTTTCTGGGTACTGCTGCAGCCATACTTCTTAGTCTCAGCCACTATTTTATAAATCTCACTGAGTATGTGAATTAATTTGCCTATTGCATTAATTTGTTTTATGTCAAGGGCATTTGTTCTGATGGTTCAGCTCGGTTAGCCTCTTTGAGTTGCTGATTTGGCCCATTTGTCCCATGACTTTTCCATCATTGTTGGTTTATGTGATCTTCCTGGCCCTTCACAGTTTAGGGGGGCAACTACTGTTCCTCTGTCCATGTGCAGTGATGGGTGCTCAAGCTTTTCCCTCGTTGGATAATAAGATTTGTTATTCTATAACAAGTCTGTAGGCTTGCAAGGGTCCCTTAGAATGATAGATGTCCAGCTGGAACGTCTGTTGGATCTAAGAGTGTTGTGGGGTCTTGTATGTGGTGTCCTGGGATATTGCTGCAGTACGTCATGTCCTACAGCCGGGGCTAATAGCTGGTAGAAGAGCATTCTGGTGACCAGGCGTGAGTGCAGGGCATTCCAGTCCACATCTTGCCTGGAAGGATGTTCTCCACGGGAGCTCTGAGTAGTTTCATGTACGGTCACCCCCAAGCAGCAACATCTGCAGGGACCTGGATCAGAACTGGGTTGCCATTTGCCTCCTTTCACCCCTGAATCACCATCTGGTTATTCTCTTGACTCTTAGACAAAAGGACCAATTACACTTTCCTATTCTTTAGGAAAATTATCTTTAGAATAATAATTTTTTGATGTCACTATTTTTTTTTCAGTTTTTGTTATGAAATATACCATAAAGGCCAAAGAGTATATGGATTTAAGACATATAAAGATCAATAAGACTACCTACTACCATCAATCAATACCTACCATCTAACTTAAGAAATAACTTCTCTTCTTCTAAACAAAGCTATTTTGTGATTCTAAGCGGATTCTCCCTCTCCCTTTCCTGCAGTTGTAGGTGTGAGGTGGGTGGTAGGTGTGGTCTTAGTGACTCCACGACAGTTTTCTAGCATTTCTTTTGGAAAAAAGAGAGAAATGTATAAATGTAGTGTCTAGAGGACACACTGAGCTATTTTCAAACAGAAGTCCTGCTGATGACTCTTAGTGGTTGGTGTGGCTGTGTAGGTCACCACTGGTTTCTCCTGGCAGGTGTTCCCTGGCCCACTGCTAACCCACATCATGCCTTTATGTGAATAAGAAAAAGCCACTCTTGCCATTTGCCAGAAATTTTCTATGATAACGATATGCACAAAAATCTGTCATGACTATGATTTTGACTAGCCCCTCCTGGAGTTTACAGATCACAACAAAATTCATGGCAAACATAGCAGTTGGCTACAGAGCTCCTCAGGTGGGCTTCATCCAACATTTACTGCACACCTACTGTGTGCCGGGCACTCTTTTAGATCTTGAGATTCAGTGCTGAGATAGCGACAAGATCCCTGCTCTCATGGATCGCCCATGACTGCACTTGTGAACAACCTGTTTTTTGGGCGTGTGAGCTGGGAGTCAGGTAACAAGCTGGAGTCATTCTTGAGTATCTTGTAGTTACTAGCAAAAGTGGGCCCAGGCTTTAATTTATTAAGAATATTGTCTATGCCAAGTAAACCCCGAGAGGCCTTGTTGTACCAAGTGATGAGTTCAGACCTCAGGTGGCATTCTAAATCCAGGGTGACCATATGTCCTTGTTTACCCTGGACATGTGATGTTCCATGTGATTATCAATATTACCACTTTTCCCTCTTAATAGTGGCCCAACCTTGGACAATAAATTATATGGTCATGTTTATTAGTCAACTTTTTTGCCATGGTAACAAATACCTTGAAGATCTTAGTGACTTAAGACATCAAATATTTAGGTTTTTGCTCGTGGACCTATGGATCAGCTGCGGTTCTGCCACCATCTATGGGTCGGGTTTAAGTTATTCCTTATTCTGGACTTTGAGCCTATACCATTGTGGCACGCAGGCTGAAAGATCAATCCTTATTTAAGACCTCTTCTCACAGCAGACGGTGGGAGCCCAAGAGTCCTCTGGTCCAACGTGGCATGGGCCATATCTACTCATATTTCATTGACTAGGACAAGCCACATGGCAAAGACCAATGTCAGGGCATTGGGATTTATACTTCTCCCTTGGAGGGGGCACTGTAGTGGAGGAGAGTGAATAATTGGTGAATAATATAATTATTACATCATACTCCTGAACCCTACTGCCTTCTGGTATACCCCTTCTCCAGCCTTTGCTGGTGGTCTCTTAGCAGTGTCTGTGTTAGGACAATGCCGAAGTGATTAACAGGATGTAGGGAAGGAGTTTTGCCTCTGTGTGGATTACAGAACGTATTAAGGGATTTCACTGTGTTGTGGAGCCTGTTTTGGTTTTAGCTTTCATTGGAGGGGGTGGGGGTAGATGTTTTCTGTGGCAGCCAGATTATCTGGGACAGTCTCCTCCTTCCCCTGCCTCCAGCACTACTGCCTATCGTCGAAGTTTGCGCCAATAAATTTTCCACTCTACTGTGTGAGCTGTCAGAACCAAGTGGACCCTGTGGCCAAACCATGCTCTCCCCTACCTCATATTGGGGCTCTATGAGGTGTAGCTTCTAGTGCTCTTTACTCTGCCCCTTCTGACTCTACTCCCTGTCCCCCATCCCTGCCTTTGTTGCTCTGTGCCTGGGATTTTTAATTTTTATTTTTCCTTCAGTGTCCCTTCATTTGCCTGTGTTAAATGTTCAGCACTGATTGGCTTTTTCTTTAAAACAATTCCAGAAATTCCTCAGTGTTACTGATTCACTGATGGATTGGTGGTACCTCTTTTTGTTTTCCGTTGTTATATAGTTTGCTTATCCCATTTCAGTGGGACTTGGGGAGAAAAAAGTAGCAAAGAATTGAGCTCAGTTACCCATGTTGAAACTGGAACCCCAGTGTTTTCAAACAGAGATGTAATACCGTTTCACCACAAAGGCAAACATTGATTGGGAGGCATGGAGGAGGCACATTAGATCCATCACCAGCCCTGGCAGCTGGCTTTCTGTCAAGAGCAATTTTTCATGAAGAAACTGTTTTATCATCTCATAAAAATAATCAAGTACCTTCAGAGTCATGTTGAAAAGCACATGTATCATAGGTGGTCAGCTTGACTCAGTGGGTAAGTGATTTGCAGGAGGGGTTCACACACATGCCTCGGCAGAAATACAAGCCTTCTCATATCACGGATTGTTGGTGTGCTGTGGATAGTTGAAACTGTGAATATTAAATAACTAATTCCTGATTTTCTCTTTCACTAGAATTAAAGTCTATGATGGTATGAAATGTGTCTGTCATGTTCTTCATTGTATCTCCAAAGCATAGCACAGTCCCTGGTACACAATGGACATTCAGAAAACTTTGGCTGAAACAATGCAAATATTAATGATGGGTAGTAAAGGCAAAACCTAGGGAGAATCTTTGAGGCTCCTGAGTGTAGTGGAGGGCAGTAAGGGCAGGTAGAGATGTCCTTTTAAGTAAGGAGTTTATAGCCATCACAGTGCCAGAAACAAGTTTCAGGTTGATGCCTCAGCCTGCCTGGCTCTCCTGTAGGGTGGGGTGGAAGCCTGGCATGGATTGGGCTTTGTTCTGAGACTTAGGAGCACAGCCTCTGGACACTGCACTGCCCTGGACCCTGGCTGAGGCCACAGGGCTGTGGTCCATGTAGCAGATCCTGTTGTTGTCCCGCCATGTCCCCTCACCCTTACCATGTAAGTGCGTGCCTGCTGACCTCCAAAGGCCAGCCCTTTCATTTACTTGCATGTGGGATTTTTCTGGCCACTGAAGCTTACTTTGCCACCTGTACTGTAGGTTGAAAATGCCCCTTGAGAGCTGCCCTCAAATCAGTGACTGAAAGGAGCTGATGTTATAAATAGCCCAGGTCCCTGGACCCAGGAGTAGGGTGCCTGAGGTGTGTGTGGCCTTTTCAGCAGGCTTAACCTACAGTCCCCCATGGTGGTAACTGGCTTGATAAAGCTCCCTTTCAGGCTGCCTTCCCTGGCTTATTTCCCTACTCCCCTACCTGTGTTTTCTTCATTTTCTAAATAATCCACTTGCCCTTGAACACTTGTGCCAGGTCTGCTAGGGAGAAACCAGACTGTAACAGTCAGCTCTGGGTCCTGGCACCTGACCACTGGGTGGTGGGTATTCTTGAGACTTCAGAGGACTTGAGCTTCATTTTGGATAGGCCCGTAAAAGTTGATATCAAAAATAGAAAAAAAAAAAGCACTCTAGTTTCTCTTGTTTTAAATACTTATTGCTTAAATTGTCCCAAAATTATATTCTGCAGCTCTCTGAGATGATGGAGGAATTTTTAAGGACAGTTGAAACCACTCTACTCACAAAGTAGCCATGATTTGTGTTGCTGTGGGATAAGGTCTTGGTTGACTTGCAGGGCATACCTAGTCCCCCTGAATGTACCGTCTCTTGCTATAGCAGGCTGTTTATTGTTTCTAAACATGGCCTGCCTGTTACCTTCTCTGTGCTTCTGTCTGAACCCTCATTGCCCTCCACAGCTGGCTCCCGAGGGATGAATGTGAGAGGGTTGTTCTGCCTGCACTGTGCAATGGGTGAGCATGGGAGGAGCAATCACACTGACCTTTGATCTTTGCTTCTTTGCAGATATCTCAGTGAGCCTGCTGACCCTTGTGGTCACTGCCTGTGGCCTCGCCCTCTTTGGCGTGTCTCTCTTCGTGTCTTGGAAACTCTGCTGGGTTCCGTGGCGAGAAAGAGGCCTGTTCTCTTGTAGCAAAGACAACAACCAGGAGCCTCTTAACTACACGGACACAGAGACCAATGAGCAGGATAACAGTGAGGGCTTCCTAGACCCTCCCACACCCTGCCCTGACTCCTCCATGAAGATCAGCCACACCTCCCCTGACATTCCCCTCTCCACCCAGGTGGGGGGCCAGGAGAACTGTACCCATGGTGTCCGTGTACAGCGCCAAGTCACAGAGCCAACCTCATCGGCTCGGTCAGTAATTCCCCCTTCCTTTCTGAATGCAAGGCAAGGACCACCATGTTCCCCTCTCTTGGCTGCAATGGCATTGATTAGCCAAGGAACCTGGAACCTTTCACATGTCCAGTCAGTATCAGAGACATGAATATGGGAAAACTCAGTGCTTCCTATCCTCCTGTGAGGTTGCTGAGCTCTGCTTAGTCTCTACTTAGTCCACAATAATAGCAGTTAACATTGCTGAGACTTACCATGTCAAGTACTATCTCTCTAAGAACTTTATGTGCGTGATTTTATTATAGCTCACAACTTTGTCTAAGACGGATCCTATTATCATTTTCATTTCACAGAAGAAGAAACTTAAGTTAGGGAGATTAAGTAACAAAGTCATATTTTGGTAAACACCCAAGGTAAGGTTTGAACTCTGGTTCAACCAACACCAGAGCCTGCGTTTTTAACCACTTTTCCATGCTGCTCTCCTGGTGCTATAGAGTTTATTCCCTGTGCCTCTGACCTAGCCTTGCTGTCACACACAAGCTCCCCTTAGAACCCACAAAGTGTCTGGAGGTCATCGTTCATCTCTAGCCTGTGAAAGGCCTGTAGAGTACCCAGACCTGGTCATTCTCTTTCTGTGGGCTGGATGCTTTATGCTCTTCAGCAGTAGAGAAATAATAGAGTGCAGTGATAAAAGGCAAGGGCTCTGGGGGTCAAGGAACTGGCTTTATTTACGTGTGTGATATTGGACACATTACTTTACCTCTGTATGTTTCCATTTCCTCGTCTGTAAGAGAGGAATAGTGATAGTACGAACGTGTAGGTAGTTTTAAGAATGAAATGATAGCGTGCACATCACATGCTTTGCACAGGCCTGTACCTGGTAAGTACAGAACGTGAGCTAACATTTTGCCTTCGGTATTCCTATTAGCATCATCATTATCATTGAGACTAGCCTCTCCCAAGACCCAGATGTTACATAAAGGTGGCTTTAAGGTTAAACAGCCAATTCTGAATCACAGTATATGAAAATTCTCTCTTCTTAAGAGACTTCAGGAAAAGAAACTCAGAAAGCAGCTTTCTTTAAAATGAAAATATTAACTTGAGTGATAGCCAGAGGAATAACATGTGCTGTTATTTGGAAAGTATGAGCACAATGTTGTGGGGGGGTAGTTTTTAAAAATCTTTTTTATTTGTTCTCTGGAAACAGAAATAAGATTTTACCCTTTTTTATGTTAATCAAGTTTATCCTAGAGGCTCTGCTCATTCACATTAAGTGGGATAGAATATGACAGTTTATAATTTAATTTTTTCAGAAACCTATTTTAGCATCATTTCCAATTCTGAATCAGAGAGCTGAGCCTAAAATATTCCTCTGCAAGGAAATGGATGGTTGTTTGCCATTTGATTTAGAAGAAATCCTCAGATTTTATCACTAGGATTTCTCTTCAGATTTAAGACTTAAATATAACTGGAGCTCTGTTTAGTGCCGCTGTGGAGTCTCTGCGATGGTGCAGACTCATAATAAAATCCTTTCAGCACTTCAATAACCAGAGCCTTTCAGATGGAGTCACCATTGAAATTATCTCTTCGGATTTACTCTGCATGTTAATTTTTCTGATCTAAGTTCCATCCATACAGGGCAACAGTACTGTTTTTCTTAGATTATGGATCTGAGGACTCTGCTATAATTCTCATGAATTGGTAGCAATCATGTCACTATAATTATCACAATATTTATTCTAGAAGACCATATAAGTACTCTGCATATCAAGAAATATAGTTCATTTAAATATAATAACTGTAGATATCTTCACCACTGATTTGTGGAAATTGGGTAGAAGGAGAAAAAATAAAAAGAAGAGAGTGAAGGAATTATCCCTGAAAAATGAATTTTACCCTTAGGTTTATTTTAGTTTTGGAGTCATGTAATTAAATTATCTTTTCTGATGGCCAAAATCAAGTTTAGTAATATCTGAATTATCATAAAAAAACTAAACTCTTTCCAACTGCATTTGACCTAATACTGATAATTTGCATCATTATGCATTTAAAACATCCTTATGTAAATTACTCCTGACCTAGTTTTATGGGTTATGTCTGGAAATACATATCTTTGACTCATGGTCTTACCATAGTAACAGTGGTATATGGTCTTCTAATTCTTTAGGGATTCTGTTATATTATAAACACACACACACACACACACACACGCACACACACACACAACCTTTTACTGACAAAATGGGAAAACAAATCAAATTTCTTTCAGGCTCCAAAACATTTTCAACATTCTTTTTTAGGTAACATTTTTGATGCCATATTTGAGGAGGGGAAGGTACTCTTTGCTGAGATGGCTTTAAACAGTCTGCTCTTCTGGTTATTCTTTCTTCTCCCTTCTTTCTTATTATGCTTCTTGCTTTCTCACTTCTGTCACTTTCTTTCTTACTGCTTCCCTTCTGCAGCCATTGTCACTCATCCCAAAGTTCTCAGGATACCTCCTAGGCCCAGAGTGCATAAGGCTTAGACTCCCATTTAAGGCCATCTCCACTGTCACTGGGATTGGCATAGCTTCTGTCATGGCATTTCCGTTGGAATCTCACCCTCACCCAGCCTCTTAAGATGGGATGTGTGTGTGGCTCCCACCAGTGCCTTTTGGAATGTCCTAAAGATGAGCTTTGTTTCATCTTCTAAGAATCTTTCTGGTCAGGATGATTTTCTGTTGTTCTTCTAAGATCAAGCACATTGGAATTCTGCTTCTAATTAGCTCAATTACTGTTAGAATCCTCCAAAATTCCTGTTATTTCTTTTGAATTTAGATGAAACTCCTTTTGTGTAATGACCTAATATCCTAGGAATGTGGATTTTGTTTAATACTGGGACATTTTAAGGGTTTCTACTCCAAATACATGAAAATCCCCCAAATAGAAGGAACCTTGAAAGGCTGTCTAATCCATTTCCTGATTCACGTCCCAAGATGAAAGTCCAACCTGTTTTCCTAAGCTTTCTCAAATTTCCTATGTAACACTTTGGTTTTATAAAAATTTCAATTACCGCACCGCCAACTCCTTATCAGGCCTGTGACAGCCCTGCATCCTATTGCCACAGTCTGCTTCTCTCAGCTATCAGGCTTACCTCCTGCTCAGGGCCACCATGTGGCACAACCCCAGAGGACACTGCTGATGTGGACTCAGTAGGAGACTTTGCCTGAAAAAGCTTATCACACTCCAGCTACACTAGCTTCTCCTTAGTTCCTTTAGTATCCCAGGCCCTTTCCTGCCTCGAGATCTTCACACATGCTGTTCCCTCAGCCTACAATGCTTTACTTTTTTTTTTTTTTTTTTGCCATGCCCGGCTCCTTTGCAGCCTTAATGTCCCAGCTAAAATGTTACCTCCTCAAAACGCCTCCCTGACCACCCTCTCTGAAGTGTGTGCTCTTTCCTCCACTCCCTCCCTCTCTTAACTCTCTTACACGTTGCCTGGCTTTCACTTCTTCATGGGATTGAACTCTATTTCTAACTAAATGATTATCTGTTTATTGCCTATACCCCCCTCTAGACTGTGAGTCCTGTGAGCTCAAAGACCACATCCGTTTTGTTTCTCCCTATATGGGTAACCCCTAGTGCAACTCCTGACACATAGCAGACTTTTTCCATGAATGACTGACAGAATACATTCATCACTGTAGGGCCACTTTTCTCATGTTCTGCTGGCAAGAATGGCAAAGGGCCCAAGGTATAAACTGAGTAGGGCTTATAATGGTGTGAGGCTGGCAGAAGGCCATTTGTCCCAGGTCTCACATTCATTAAGAGCCTGACAGTTTTTTGATCTTGTCTCTGAACTAAACAATCCACAGAGTCACAGAAATACAGAATTGGAAGAAGACAATCATCACACTCAATTTGGGTCCCATTACTGGCCACATCTCCAGTAAGTAATACACTAGGATTAAATATTGTGATTACTCTATGAGTAGAGAATTGGTTAGATGTAAACATTTAAAACTTCATGTTTTTGAATTATTCTTTTAGTCATTTCTTCAGATTTTAATAGACTGACAGCTTCAAAAATGGAAGTTGCTTAGACTTTTCTCAACTTTCGTGAGACCCTGAAACTTGGTGTAAATGTGTAGTTTCTCTACTGATTTAATTATCAGAAACTTGTGTGTTCGTGGTATTCATAGGTTTACTCTAGACACACGTACTATGTGCAAAGGTCTGTATGACATGCTAGTAATAGAGGGAAAAGATATAGCCCTGGCCTCAGAGAAAGGCCCACAGGCTAGTTGGAGAAATATACAAGAAGAGCATTAATTACATACATTGACATACTCAAATTGTTCTTTAGAAGATTAGTCTGGCAAGAGTGTATAAGATGTGTGAGATGAGGTGAAGACCAGATACAGGGGCCAGTTCAGGCCTGTAATGATGAGGGCCTGAACTTGGTTGAAAGCAGTGGGAAAGGCAAGAAGCACGAGATGTGAGCTACTTTAGAGAAAGTGTTGGTGGACATAGGCTCATCTTAGTCATGGGGGATAAAATACTGGAAGATGACACCAAGGTTTCAACCTGTTTAACTTGGGAGTGGGCGGGAAGAAGCAGGTCATGCTTCAGTGTATCCAGCTGCACTTGACCACTCACCTCCACTGGCCAAGGCCTACATCTTCATTGTCTCAGTCTCTCTAGAGGCCTCTGAATCTCAGAACAAGAGAGCTTCAGATTCCCATTTCTTCTTGCCTTACTAGTCAGTTAACTGTGTCTGTCCCTATCTGGGACTTCCCCTTCTTCTATGTCTGCCTGTGTTTCAGGACAACCCAACTCTCTCCTCTTCATCATCAGGGGAGTTTCCATAAGGGAAACAGAGTCCTGTCTCCTCTGTTTCCAAACCTCCCTGTTTTTACTTGAACCAAGTAAAGAAACCATGATGGTTTTGAAATCACTCTTTCCTCTCCTTGGACCATGAAGCCTTGTCAACACTGATGCCCCAGAACTGAGAAAGGGATAGACCAAGTTTCACCACTGAGATAAGGGAGGGTAGAAGAGTGTACACTTGTCCGTGGCTGCACGGGAAACCCAGATGGAAGGGATGCTGGGGATTCTGAGCGCTGGCTCTTACACAGAGCCTAGATGGAAGGTGTGGTTGGCATATGTGCAGAGAAAGCTCCTGGAGCAGAAGAACTAGAGATTCCATCCTGCTGGAGCGCCAGGAGCTGAGATGGAAACATTTAACTTCCCTATTGAGGTCTAGAGCATCAGCTTGGAGGCTGTTAAGTACGAAGCCAAGTTAAGTAGGCAGGCTCAGCTCAAGTATCATCTCCTCCATGACAATTTCCCAAGCCAGAGGCCTCCTTTTGCTTCTGTGGCTCTCTAGCCTCCGGTCAGTTCTTATGCCCCTCTGTCCTGCTTTAGAGTTAGTGCATGACTATCTCATCATATTACCACCCCCATGCCAGCTGCCAGTCATTCCTTGAAGGCAGTCACTAGGCTTTGCCTGTCTGTGCCTCCACCCTACCTGACCCGTGCTTTGCACTTTCAAATTTGTTAAATTATAGTAATGTCCTCTTTCTTAAGATCCAATGAAGGTAGTTGGCTTTTTGGGTGATGGTTCTGGGACTGAGACTTTGTTTGGAGACTTAAAGTGGGATGCTGGAACTGGTTAATTCAAATTTGGGGAAAGGAGAGGAGGAAAAGCCTTTTGCCTCTGGGCATGCCTCTCCTGACCCTTGGCTGCAACTCAGCAGCAGGCTCAGAATCCTTCAGGCATGAAAGTGTGTTTTTGAGTTTATTGTGGGAAATCTGCTTCACAGATTTTGTTTAATCATCTTTGAAATTAGACTTTCTCTAGGTTCAACCACCAATCTTCCAGCTCAGGTCTGGGACAGCCAAGTCCAATCTTTAAGTTCTCTTCCTTGTCTCTTCCGTGACAGGAGAATGGCTTCTGCCCACACTGAGAGAGAATGGGGGGTGGAGGAAGCTAATACTCCCAATCCCAGTGGCCAGCTTCCCTAAGACAGCATTAGGGTATGACTGATTTACAGAGGACACCATCTCTCAGCTTCCGTTATCACCTCCTGTCTTCGGGGTCCACCTCCTCTCCTTCCATTCATTGTGCACTTAAGTCCTGAGAGCACCAAAATACAGGACTCTCCAGACCTACTCAGAGGACTGTGTGCTTCAGATACAGATCACTCCTTGCCACACTCACTCAGCGTAACTCAGTGGCATTAAAATTCTAGACCCTTACCCTGGGGGGCCTCTAGTTCACTGCACTCAAGGACCACCTCCCTTGACCATTTTAGAATCCCTCATCTTGGGTGGCAGGAGCTCAGATCACAACATTCTGTTCTGTATCTTTCCTCTCTCCTGCTTTTAACTTGCTTTTTCTTCCCGCCTCTATTTGAGTAGCCTATGAGAGCTATGGAATATTGATTTTCCATTTCCTCTACCTCTTCTCCTTCATGTCCCTGGAGCAGCCTCTCTGCTCTACTTTCTCATTTCTCAGCTCAGAGAGCTGCGGAGGTTATGCAGGGAGGTTACGAGTTACCCAGGTTCTCTGGCTGCTCTGGGCTTCTCCGGTCTAACTCCACCCCAACTCCAACTCCAGTAATGGCCAACTCTCTCCTGAAAGGAAATTGAAAGCGATTGAAAGAGAGCCCCAGGGAGTGAGAACTGTCATGGCCTGTTACAATCTTTGCTATCTGCTTTAAGCCACTACCTTACGGTTGGATTCAACTGTTTTCCCAATAGTAAGTGTGATTCTGAATGGGAGGAAAGGGCTGGGAATGAGACTAGTCATGTAAAACATTTGGGTAGATAATAGTATTCGTATCTGTGCTTGATTTTTAAAAAGAACCTTCAGCTGTGTGTAATTTTGAAAGGAGGCGTCCTGCGCAATTGGGTTCTGAGGGGATGGGATCCTGCTTCAGTCTTTGAAGTACAAATCTCTCCCTAATGCCCTCCCCAATCCACCCCTTTTACCCACTGGCAATCCAATGTGGTTGGGAAGAGCAAAGCACATAGGACTTACTTCTCTGCAGAGTTCATTTTTAAGAAAATGTACAAGTAAAACAGAATATGTTCCATTGCTGAGCAGCCAATTCATATATTTTAAATTTAAATTTACATTTACATGACAGGCATAATCCTACACATAAGGGTTAAGAGAAAATGTTGCTGTGATGAAACTAAAGCCAGTACTCAGAAAACTCGAAGGTAAGTTGTTAAGCACAGAGAATCTGCACAGCAACCACCTTGGGAGAAAAGTGGCAGCAGAGTGTCAGGGATTGGGGCTGGTGTAGACACAGAACTGGTGTTGCATCACAGGTGTTGGTCCAGAGAAGGCACATCCAGAGGGCCTTTAAGGGAGCACTTTTAGTATTTAAACAGAACCACAAACTGGACAGCACCCAAAATGGCCCATTGTATGTGGAAACTGACTCTGGACCCAAGTATGGCCCTTGTTTGACTCCAGCCTGGGGAGAAAAATCCACAGCAGAGGAACCAGAGCTGGTACCAGCCCCTTATGGCCTCTGCATAGGGCTGGACACTTGCTGTTCCCTGCCAGTCCTTTCTGCCCAGAAATCCCATGAGAGCAAGATTAAAGCTCCATCCTAGCACTAAGAAGGTTCAACATCTGGACAAGGGAATGACCTGGCTGTACTAGCACAGGGGGCCACTTAGCAGCATCCCCTGCCTCCTCCCTCTCCTGACAAATCAATCGTAAGATAAGAGAAAACTTAAGATTGTGGGTTTCTCTGTAAGGAATTAAAATCTCACAACATAAACTTTCAGACCACACAGTGTTTGCACATGTGGAAATGTATGTGCCTGGGGTGTGTCTGCTTGCAGTAGCCTGCTGGCTGTGACAGGTGCAAGTGACAGCTCTGTGATTGTGCTCTTGTACCACGTGGGTGATTAGTGACCAGGAGGGTATTGTAGGATAAAGAAGAATGTTCAGCATAGCAACATCTGTATGACAAGGGAGAATCATTTCAAACTTGTTTTGGGGTTATTAATCCCATTTTTACATCTTTATTTCATAAAGTAGTCTTAAGAAAGGAAAAGAAGGCAAACTCAAATGTTTACTCTGCCTTTCTAACTATTTACTAATTCCTCAGAGATTCCTTTTTCCTTCTGGTGAAGAGAGGCTATTTTAATTAAGATTATGGAGAGACTGCAAAAAATATAATGATTCTGAACTCTGAGATAAAAACAAACAAAAATAACCTTAAAAACAACCTTTTATGTAATGACTACTTCTCTCAATTTGTGAGGACCCACACAGATAAGCCAGGTTTCAAAGAGAATTTCAGGGAAACTTCTAACCCAAACCAATAAGCTTATGGGGTGAAGAGTAGATTCTGTTAGCAAATATTTAATTTGCAAATATCAGTATCCAGCCTTTTGTAACTGAATCCTTACATACATTTATAGTAGCTTACCTTTAATTTTTATACCCGTAGTGTTTATTACAGAAATAAAACCCTTCTTCTTGATCACTGATCACCCACGTGGTACAACAGCAGTTCAATCACAGAGCTGTCACTTGCACCTGTCAGAGCCAGCACACGCCACTGCAAGCAGATACATTCTGTCACATACGTTCTCGTGTGAGCAAAAACTGTTCTTGTGATGAGGTGATTTGATTTGAACCAGTGTGAATTTATATCCTTATAAAGCTATATGCCAGTGACAGGAAATTCTGTGTCATTTAGAGAAAGATTCATTCTTCTTGAGACAACACATAGCGAACTATTTCAATTTCAGTATGATATTATATATAAAGGTGAATAATTTTAGTTTTAAACCAGTTTGTACAAATCTTTACATTCCACCAGCCGAATAAACCTCTTTAATGTCATATTAGTTTACAAAGTACATTAAACCTTTAAAGCTCCAAGGTCACATGTTAGTAAGTTCATTTCCTGATACCAGGCCTCAATTTTGTGCTTCAAGCCTTGGGGAATGACTTACTCACACTGATGAGCATTTTGAATTTAGCCCAAAAAAAAAAAAAGCCCACAGATCTAAGCTTTTAATGGTGCAGAACAGTCTACCTACATCCCAGGCACAAATTTCTGAAAGACCCGTAGCTAATGAGGTTATAACTTTGTTCTCTCTTGCTCTTCACTCAAGGCATAATTCAATCCGAAGACAACTCAATCTGTCAAACCCGGACTTCAATATCCAACAGCTTCAAAAACAAGAACAGTTGACTGGAATTGGTCGAATTAAACCGGAGTTATATAAGCAGAGGTCATTGGATAATGATGATGGGAGAAGGAGTAACAGCAAAGCCTGTGGGAAGCTGAACTTCATTTTAAAATATGACTGTGACTTAGAACAGCTCATAGTGAAGATTCACAAAGCTGTCAATTTGCCCGCCAAGGACTTTTCTGGGACTTCAGATCCTTATGTCAAGATCTATTTGCTTCCCGATCGGAAAACAAAACACCAGACTAAAGTTCACAGAAAGACCCTGAACCCTGTGTTTGATGAAGTGTTTTTGTTTCCCGTTCCCTACCATGACCTTGCAGCCCGGAAGCTTCACTTCTCTGTGTACGACTTTGACAGGTTTTCCCGCCATGACTTAATTGGCCAAGTGGTGGTGGATCACTTCTTAGACTTGGCTGATTTCCCCAGGGAGTGCATCCTTTGGAAGGATATCGAATATGTCACCAATGTGAGTCCAGCATTTCTTCATTTTGGGGGGCTTCTTGGTCAGCGTGCACACAGAATACTTACACTTTATTTTATTTTGGGGGCAAAGTATAAAATTCATGTCAGTGTACACAGAGCTTTTGTTTCAGAACCTCCTTTCTGGAAGCAGGTCTTTAACAATATTCCTTTTGCAATTTTCAAGAATTGTTTATGAAAACGATATTACAGAATAACATTCTCTCTTTTCTATTTTCTAGTTCTTAGCTATTCCCTAATAGATAGTAGATATTATCTGCCCTCCTCACCACACTTTCTTTAGAGCTTTCTTAGGTTGCTTGTGCTAAATGGATCCTGGCATCCTATATTAACTGTAATCTGCAGCTAAGAGACCGTTGCCTGACTCTCTGAGAGCAGTTAGTCCTTTCCCATGTTCTCAGGTCAGCTCAGTAGCATTTCCCAAGATCAGATCTTCAAATTTAACCCCAGAAATGAGGTTGAAAAGAGTTGGCACCACATTTTTAAATATAGAATCAAAGTTACAAGGATGTCAATCTGAAAAGATGCCACAGATATTGGCAAAATTAGTCTACAGAAGATCAAATCCAATTTAGGGCTCAGGAGAGAAGGCAGAAGTACTATATAGTGATGCCATATATCTATGTTTACATGTTAAACATGAGATTGCAGTAGTGATATTTGTACCCCATTTACATCCTTTTCACTGTCGTGCAGAGATGTCTCAACACTGCTGAATTAGAAAGGAAAATTGGACTTTCTTAGGTAACTAGTATTTTAAAGCCACTTGTTTCTTTCATCTGTCCAAATTCCCTCAGACAACTTTGTTAGCTCGTCTTCTGGGATACAAGTCCTTCTGAGCTCAGCATAGTTCTGGTTCTCTGCCTTGGCATCCAAAGACCATACTCCTTCCTGAGCTCAGGCGATGGTCCACCTTGGGTTTGGAGCCCGTTTAGTGAAGTGATTTCACTCTGCTCAGGAAGAGAACACACGGAATCTCTGCCCAGTGACCAAATACCTGTACTAGGACTTTCTCATCCTCAGCCACTTTTGTGAACTGGGAACTCACCCACACTTTGGTTGTCCCAACGGACACCTTCTCTTTGTGTACCACAAAATACCAGTGCCAGCTTTGTCTTGCTACTCAGATAAGTGAAGTGTAGCATGGGGTTTGGCTGGCCTTTATCATAATGATAATAATGACATGATGCTGGGAAAAGGAAAGAAGGAGCTGGAGAAGGTGCAGAAAGTATCAGCTGCTGAAACTAAGGTGGTTTGGGAGATTGGGGGAAGGAACAGACTTCTTCAAACTTGAAAGGTTGTGATTCTGTAAATCCAAAAATGCATGCTGGGGCAAGCAAGGATTGTATCCCAAATCCCACTTGGCAAAATAGGAGACAGCATGAGAAACTTTGAAGAAGTAAAGTGGGCAGGCTGCTTATCTAAGATAAGAATGGCTCAGGAATGGACCTTCTCACTAGAGTTTACCAGGTCCTCCTGGGTTTAAGCTGAGACACTGCCAACGGACAGTGATGAGCTGTGGTAGAGAGAGGTTAGTTACACCATCTAATGTGACATCAAGTTATATTTTTTGACAAACAGTTTCTGTAAAATAGCTGGAGTGGTTATTATAATGCTCAGCAGGAGTCCTGCTGTGAGTTGACTTCTAGAGACTTTATGGAGAGAGCAACACTAAGCGCCAAGTGGCTGATAAAATTCTGGATATGGCTGCTATTGGTGGGAAGGTCCCCTAAAGCAGTTTCCTGTGGGATGAGAATATAGAACAGCAGCCTGGAGAGACCTCCTGGCCCTGAGATCGCTGCCATTTTAGCCCTGTCCCAGGACTAAGAGTTTCCTGTCCATTGTCAGAGAATCCTGGATTTCCACAGAGTTGAGGAAAATGTAAAATTATTTATCAAGGAGGAAAACTGATAAAGCTAAAGACCTCAAAATTCTCAGTTGTTTCCTCAGGCAAATAATAAATATTCTGAGCATTGATCTAGGCCTTTGGATGGCCAGCAGGAGACGAGAAGTCCTGAAAGTGGCATTACAGATTATTTCATAATCTGCCATATATTTTTTAAAATTCTATTTTAAAAATTATTATTTGAGGCTGTTTTGACTGTGCTTGTTTGAATGTGACTTTGTACAGAGACTGCCGTGAAGGTCTGAGGTTTACCAAGTTCCCATTTTTATAGTATAGCATGTATGTAACGCAGTGTATGTAATGCACACATGCAGATTAATGAGGGCATAATGAAGTGAATAGACATGGACCCACCCCTCAGCTGAAGAAGGGAACATAGCCAGTACTTTTGCTGACCCTTGGGGTGCCCTCCCCCTTCACGTTCCCTCTCAGTTCGCTCCTGCCAAAAGGAAACCACTATGCTGAATTTTATTTATATCGTGGCATATTTGTAAGACAATGTATTATTTGGTTTTGTCTATTTCTGCTTTTCATAGCTCTTCTTTGAATTCTTTTTCAGTCCACATTGATTATGACATTTAGCAATAGAGATGGATGGAGCTGTGGTTCATGTATTCCCATTGCTGTATAATATCCCATTGTGTTATATATGACAAATTAGTTTTCTCGTATTGATACTATTTGGGTTGTTATTAGTTTTTTATGATTCCAAATAGTACTGCAGAGAACACTTTTGTGCACATCTGATTCACATGAGGTGTATGCCTGATTGAGGTAAGCTGCACACACGTTCAACTTTTCTAGGCAATGCCGAGTTCTTTCCCATAGAGTCTGTACAAATTGATCTTCCCACTGGTGATGTATGACAATTCCTAAAGCTCCACATTCTCACCAACTCTTGCAATTGACACAGTTTAACATGAGTGTGCATGCATGCATGTAAAATGGTATGTAATTTTCATTTCCTTGATTGCCAAGGTGGCCCATCTTCTGACATGTTTTATTGGTCATTCGTGTTTCCTTCCTTGTGAAGTGCTTATTATCTTTTCCTTATTGATTCATGTATGTTCTTTATATAGTCTGGAGGCAAATCTTTTGTTTGGTGATGTGTCTTACAAACATCATCTCTCAATTTATGGCTGTCCTTGTACTCACTTGATGGTATCTTTTGATCAATAGAAGTTCTTATGCTTAATGTAGTAAAATATCAATATTTTCTGCTGTGAATTAGCATGTTTGCATCTTGTTTAAAAGATCCTTCCTTACTCTATGTCATAAAGATATTTCTCTTATACTTTCTATTAGAAGTTTGAAAGTTTTGACTTTCCTAATTATGATTTTAATCTACCCAGAATGAAATTGTGTGTGTGGTGTGATACAGGCATCCTGTATTAGTCATCTCTGGGTGCCATAAAAAAATACCATAGACTAGGTGGCTAAAACAACAGGAATTTATTTCACACAGATCTGGAGGCTGAGAATTCCAAGGTCAAGGTGCCAGCAGCTTCAGTTCCTTGTAAGAGCCCTCTTCCTGGCTTGCCAGCCACCTTCTTGCTGTCTCCTGACAGGGCAGAGACAGAGGGACAGCTCTGGACTCTCTTCCTCTTCTTATAATGACACCATCTCATGTTCAGGAATCCCAGTAAATCTCAGTCAGGATAAATAAAAAGAAATGCTCACTTAGAAATATTATAGTTAAACTATAGAACACTAAAAAGGAAAGCAAGACCTTGAAAACAATGAGAAAAAAATTATATACAAAGGAATAAATATTGGACTAAATGTTGACTTCTCAAAAGCAATTGGACGTCAGAAGACTATGGAATGGTAGCTTCACAATACCAAAATCAAAGTAACTGAGAGTTTTATGGCTTCAATTTTTATACCCAGAAAAACAATCTTCTAAGAGAATAACAAAATAAAAGCATATTCAGAACTGTGGCTTTTGGTTGAGGGTTATTGCCAGTCTATGGCTATCCAAGGAAGGTATTTAGGGGAATAAATATTCTGGCCTCACTTTCCTCCCTTCCTCGTTGTCTGAACCTAACTAGAAGCCAGAGACTAAGAAAGCTCTTTTCAGTTTGAAGAAAAATAAACAAAAACCCCAAAGGCTCCAGGGGCACCAAGCAGGAGCCAATGGATTCCAACTAACTTCTATCATTACTCATCGCACCTCCTTTTTATGTATTTGTTCAATTTTCTTTCTTCCCCATTAGACAGTTCTGTGAGTGCAAAGACCATATCTGGCATGTTCACTATGCCCAGCCTCTAGAGTGGAGTCTGGAAGTGAAATAATTACTAAGCACCTGCTGAATAAAATGAAGTTCTTTATTTGGTGAGCCTCTAGGGACTGATTTGGTTGGGGGCGGGCGGGTTGTTGTGCAGAGCTGAACCCATAATCTAATCTCTTTTTTTATAAGCTAATCTTTTTTTAATTTTGTTCTTTATTTCTCCATGGGGATTATGAGTTTTGTAAATATTGGCAATCAAATAAAAATTAATTCTCACACCTTCCTGTGAAGGAACAAAATGGCAATTATTGAGTGTAAAGGTGATAGTTTAATTAAACCTCTCAATTACTGAAACCAGATCAATCAGTAATAGTGTAATGCCTCTCTGTGGGATGTGTATCAGTCAATAAGAGAGAAGATAGCATCTGGAGGAAAGTCAAAGTTAGGAGAGCATGAGTTCAGTGGTCAGGGTAAGTATTGGCTATACGCTTGGCATTTTCAGTGTACCCCACTCATCACTGGCTTCCTGACAAATAGGTGTTGAGCACTTCAGGAATCTCTCTTGGTGGCATGCTTAGAAACTGGTTCAGAGACTTTCTCTGGCACCTATAATCATCTCAGCTAGACTCTAATTTGGAGGAGATGCTAGAGTTTTCACATGGTAACAGTAGAAGTCATGAGATTCCCTCTATGCCAATATGGATCCCAGTTCATAACAGGCCAGGGTACAGTTGACAGTCACATAGACTTTCTTTTAATGTTAGGAATTTTAAAACTTTACATTTCCCTCAAAATTTGACTTTGTGAGTCATTGTAAAGTCCTATATTTTGCAGTGGCTGATTTAAGAA